GGGCTGGATCCTTTCGATAGGTGGTAAGTAATAACTAGCGCTGAGACTAAATGAACAGAGTTCGGTTTCACACAAAACTATGATTTTACTTTAGGTATCGTTAAATTGATAGATAATTTTTCTATGGCTAGGCAGGCTAGGTGGTGTGAGGTGGACTATTTTTTCTTGTTGCGCGATGGAGAAATCGTTTCTTTTTTCTAACCTAGGGACCAGATGATCGTGCTAACAGCGCTATTTTGTGCATTTCAATTTCAATCAGATGAACCGGCTAACGGTAGGTTCAAACTCAATCAATGGCATTACTTATACTACCATAAGATGTCTCAGACCACTTCAGAGCCGTCTAGTATAACGGACGGACCAATCAATTTTTGTGGGGAGGAGGTATTGCTGACAAGAGATTTTCCCTTGTGACAAGATATGATGGGAGTCTTCTTAAAGATTTCTCTTAGCCGTTGCTGGTTTTGTATAAGGTGTCATTTCCCCATTAGTATTCTCTTCGGGCCATGCAAGGACTGTTGGTATTGTGTAACAAAAGTTATTAGAAGTTTTTTACGTGAGCGGATTTGTTTTTCCGTTCTGGGGCACTTTCTCTTCCCCTCGTCTTGTCCTTTGCACTCGTTTATTGCTTCATGCGAAATGACTTGTTCGCCTTGCTTGGCTGAAGCGCCTGTTATGCAGGCTAATTTCTTCTTAGTATGAATTAATTTGCCCAGCATCGGTATTTGCCAGCATCACTCTGTAAAATTCCGCTGCAGAAGACAGTAAAGTCGAAACCGGTCCGGAAAATGGCTTGTTTTGGTTGAGACGGGTGGATCAGTACTCAACCACAAGTACCATCCTTAATTTCCAGTGTGAAACCACAAGGGAGGTTTCCTTAGGGGAAATGGAAAGTATGCTGAACTTAGACACCTTCTCTTGGCATTAGAAAGTTTTTCTGAGCCATGAAAAGGTTCTGAAAGCCAAATAAATGAGTTTACTTGGAACCAAATAAAAAATTTCATGTGTCCCCTTCCAATTTTTTCAATGCATGGATTTTTTGGGAATGGGGTCGATTGCGCCTTCAAAGGCTTAGAGGCCCTCGAATGTGAACTTTGAATCATCTTACAATGGATTACAAGCGCAGGAGGATCACAAAATGAAAAGTAAAATTACTTTTGGGTAATAATCACGAGCTCCTATGATAAGGCCACTCGCAGTAAATTTACTTAGCCTCAATCTCATTATCTCGCGGAGACCCTTTGTAAGAGGGTGTAACCTTTCGTTAATCCTCTTGGTCTGAAAACTGACATCAAGCGGAATCTTCGATAGCTGACCCGCTTATCCTTTGAACAAGCAGCTCTCCTTGGAAATTCAGCACAACAAATGTTAAGTATATCTCATTTCCTTCTTGTTTTCAACTGTTTGCTGTTATGGTTAATACCTCCAACCTTCTCTTCCTTCATCATTCCTTTGTGAGGCGTTTACAGACATTCCTCACCGAACATCACAAAAGGCGTGCCACTCACAACATGAACTTGCCTCACGAAAGTGTATCTTTTCTAGGCATTGGCGGTAGAACCGTCTCTAAGAAGCTGTCATTTGATTTGGACAAAATTAAGGCTTTTTAGCCAAAGATTATCATTTTAGAACTGGGAACTAATGATTTGTGGGTCTGATGGTTCAGATATTGAACATTTAGTTCAAGTCCTCCATGATCACTGTGGAGCAGAATTTATAATGGTATGCCTAGTAATTTACCGGTCTGCTATTCCTCCACACATCCCCGATTTCAGCCACAAAGTAGACCTTCTCAATAAATAACTAAAAGTGGTCCTCGAACCACTCCCTTATACTGAAGCGTGGAGCCATAGAGGGCTTCAAAGTCCATCTATTGCTATTTTATTCTGAGATGGCATTCATTTGAACGAAGTGGGTGACTATGCTCTGTATCAAAGCTATAGGGGAGCCATACTATTCGCTTTGAAGTTAGCCACTTTTTCTGAGGCTCAGTGACAGATTCCAACTTGTCTATCCAGTCATGCATTCTACTTTCATTGTAACCGTCCTTCATTGCGGACAGGAGAGTTTTATCTTCAAAGAAAGGCTGTGAGACAGGGTGGTAGTTTGTGGGAATCATTAATCAATTGAGGAAGCAAGTTACTACCTATAGCCATGCCATTAGCCACAGAAGCTATCGCATCACTTGCAACAGGAGCGTTATCAGGATAAGCCAGTTTAGGTGTGGATAAAGTATTCGGAAAACAATTGTTTGTATGCACAATTGGTTGCATACAAACATTAACTGACCACGGGGCAGAAAAAGGATATTCTTAAGTCTCTCCAAATTGGCAACGGATTAGTTATCCGGCCAACTAAAACACAGAGCAGTGGATTCTTAGGAACTCTACTGGCTAGTATAGGAGTCCCCTGTTGCTAAACGCATTAATGGGAAAAGGACTACAGGCTGATAGAACTGGTTCCGCTAATACAACATCTGTTTATCATTATTAGACGTTAT